TGGGTTTTGACCCCTGCGCCGCCGTGCGCGAACACTGTAAACCCCAGACGGAAAGGGATTGGTCATGTACGCATGATCCAGACGTTACTACAAGTTGTGTAATTATTCATTATTATCATTGATTATTATACACTTATAATTATTAAGGTCTTTACGATTAAAAGGTCTGTCATTATGAACCCCTAATCCTATCAACGCAGATTGTTCAAATCACGATAGTTACAAAACGCACTCCCTCATTTTGCTGCGTACTCTTATTTGTATCCCTCGTATAGTCTACAGTATTTAGTAGTATTTTATGACATGGAACTGTGTGATGTGTTTATTGAGAAATGCTGGATGTTACAGAAAACACAGAAATTATTATGGCCATTACTGTTAACGGCCGCGCGTAAATTCACGTATCTCCTCGAAAACCGCCATAAGGAATGTACCCATTTACCTCTTACCGGGAGGGTTTCGAACGTGGCAAAGACGATAAGCTATGTCACTAGCCTATATTTCCCATCCCTAAAACAACATTTCAACAACAACAACATTTCACCCTTGCCTTCGCCAGGTCGCCATTGCGGAATTTGCGATCGGTACCTGCTGCCATCTCTAGGTCCTTACGGACAATTATTAACGACAAAAACTCATCGGTAACGAGAGGGGGGTAGGGGGGGGGGTACTGTTCACAGTGAAAATATTCCTCATAGGGTAACCAGATTTTCCTATATTTCTTGGTTCACTATTGAAAGGATACGGCCCGCAACTAGACTATTTGTCTTTGTGACTTATTTAACTTTACCTGCCTTCTACGTCCTTACAGAGATATTCCATTCATACTAGATCACGGGGGATACATGTAGTTGGCGACAACTGCCCGTTTCTAGTTTTAGCTCTAGTTGACATCGTCAAGATAAGCTATTGCCATGGGGCGTCGTTCGTCGTACGTCCGTCCGTCCGTCCGTCCGTCAACATTTGTCTACGGTCAACGATAACTCAAGAACCGTTTGACCCACATGTTTCAAATTGCATATAGTTGTTACTCCTATGTGAGAGGTTTGAACGTCCTATTTTGGAGCACACCAGTCGACCTACTTTCGAGCCACGCCCACTTTTTGGCAAAAATGGAAATGGCCATAAGTCAGTTCAGGTTAAACGGATTTTGCTCATTTCTGGTATGGGAATGAATAAAGACTGCCCCCAAAACATCACATGGGTTTTTATATTTTTTTTAAAAATTATGCAAATTAGGTAGATTTTGGCAATTTCACTATGCATTGCAGTGTCTGCCTACGGTCAACAATAACTCAAGAACCGTTTGAACCACATGTTTCAAATTGCATAGAGTTGTTACTCCTATGGGAGAGATTTGATTGTCCTATTTTGGAGCACGCCAGTCGACCTACTTTCGAGCCACGTTTACTTTTTGGCAAAAATGAAATTGGCCATCTAGATTCATTCGATTTTGTTAAATTTTGGTATGTGAATGTGTAAGGCTAGCATATATCATTATAAAGAGTATATAATGGGAGATATACGCTATATAATGGGAGTTCTCCCATATATACTCTTGCTTTATATATCCCCCATCCCTCTTCTATCACACCAAAGGTGAGCTACAGTGTCATTGACACTTTCATTGTAAAATCTATTCTACTGCAGAAATTATAGTGATGTATAAACCGGTTTAAACTTTTTGACTCCATAGATGTTTGCTAAAAAAAGGAATGCTGCAAAATCAAGAAGAATGACAAAAGAGAATCACAATCAGAAAACTCCACTTCCCGTCGGACCGACGACGTTATGTTTCAATAAAGATGAATTCATGAAGGTACATATAACAACTGCAACTATTTCGACTTAGCTGTGCAATAACAACATATATTCATACTAATCGTTATGTCATATTTAACTGCAATCTGCATGTGGACGTGTTTGTGAAAAAGGCAGAGAGACAAATGAGAAGAGCATGAAATTTTTACTCAATATATAAGTCTAACAATCTTTGTACTGAATGTTTGTTGTTTAGCTATACCCAGGTGTCCTTAAAGGGAATCTGACATCTAGAACGTATTTAGCCTATCATATGACATTGTTATTACTTTTAAACACGTTTTCTGACATTTTTAGAACATATTATGATCAAACCTGCTTTTGATGATGTAGGTTCCAGGGCTGAGGCTAGACAGTATTTTTCCAGATTTAAAGGGCACATCCCCCAAAAAGGGCACACCACCCCACAGTGAGCGCAAAATTTCGAAGGGCACTTTAAAATCTAGACCGTATTTCCCAGTACGGCAAATACGGTCTGAATCCGCCCCTGCACTATAGCTATTATAAAAAGCTGCGTTTGATAGCGAGAGTAGATGCAGTAAAATCGGTGAAATTTCTGAACTCACGATGTAAACAAACTCAAGTCTATGAACATATATGTGCTGCATGCAATCTTCCGATCTGCTCAATCTACGAATCTGCTGACTGTGTGGCAGCCTCATTGAACTCTAGCAACCCTAAAACCCACGATAATAGACCTGCTTGCAAAACCGGGCCTGTGCAATCTCATCGAACTCTAGCAATTAACACAACCCACGCTGATAATCTGCCTGCACCACCCTGTAAAACCGGCGCCCATTAACCGGGTCTGCACAATCATCTCGAACACTAGCACATTAAAACCAGCTGATAAACCTGTGCAAAATCGGGATTCACTTACTGCTAATATCTATTGCAATAATAACACTATAGCCATTAGCCAATGTAAAATCGGTTGATTGTGCAGATCGGCAGATTACACACAACACATGTTCGCTCTTTTTGGAACCGGTATGGCCGGCGGCACGGGATTGTAGGTAATATTGCTATTTTTAGTGCAAGTCACGGAACCCTCTATAGCGTTCAACGAAAAGTCTAAAGTGTGAAGTATACTTCAAAACATGTGTTAGTAGCCCGCCACGCGAGTCGCGCACAATAGTTTGTGATATCTGGGAAAATATTAGTGGGCCTGCAATAACTTCAATGCTAAACTAGAAACGAGCAGTTGTCGCCAACTACATGTATCCCCCGTGATCTAGTATGAATAGAATATCTCTGTAAGGACGTAGAACGCAGGTAAAGTTAAATAAGTCACAAAGACAAAGGTTTGTTAGACAACTGGTGTGCCTCAGATGTGCAAGTATATGGAATCTGGTTACCCTAGGAGGCCGAAAAGGAAATGTAAGTCGACGGTAAAGGTCAAACTAAGGTGAAGGGCAGTGGTGGTTTTGGTATGCGACTGACCTTCTCCCCAAGATGTGTAAGCATACCAAGTTTGGTCGCGCTACAGGCTTTCATTTTTAAGGGGCGCGATCGCGCTCGCGCTCCACCGCGCACCCGAAATTGTGCCATGGTGCGCGCATCATCGCGCCTCATAAAAGTGGTTGAAATCGCGCACCAAAAGTATGTCTATTATGTTGAAATAGCGCTGCATAGAGTTCTCAACAGTGTTACCACTCTGAAAAATGGGGAAACCCCANTATTTTAATTAAAGTAATAAATACCTGACCATTTACAATAACTACTCAGTATTCTAGAATATAATATGAGCTTGTCACATATCACACACTATTTTTATTGCAATGCAAACTAGACGCTAACCACATTATAAATACCTTGTGTCCTGGTGTGTTCCTAAGCATCTCACACAGCAGTACCGTGTCCCACAATTAACACATGTGTAGTTACTGGGAAATGTAATATGAACAATGTCAAGGTAGTAATACAAATGAATCAAGAAAGTGATCAGGCCCAACATCCTGTAACTTATTGTATAGGAATCAATGCAGCAGTGGCACCATTTGATTTCCACTGCTTGCCACCACAACCCTTGATATTCACGTCAATGGGAACAACATCGATCCAGGCCACCCTTGCAATATCATGCAATGCAAGAACGGATTCGAACTTCATGAAGACATGCTAAAATTGACTACACCACAAATTTTCTATGGTGTATATTTGTCAAAAATTTTGTTGCAATTTTTTGGACATAATTTTTTTACTTTGACTATTTACGGTGACGTAATCACTTTAATATTTGAAGCTAATCAGTAATGCGCACAAAAAGGATATCCACACACAGCACAGAACTTGCGTTCAGGCATTTTGGATGAAGGTGCTCTTGCAGAAAGATAGTTCAGCTCATCTGTTGCTAACATTGCCTGAAAGAGTAAGGCACCTTAATACGGCAAGAACCACCCCTCCCAAACTATTTTTTCTAACTAGAAGATTATTAAAATCACCAACACATTAAATGTGGACTTCAGTGAATTGCCTATATGTGTGCCTTGCCAACATGTTGTCATATAACTCTGGGATTTTCTTGGTCACTATATTATTATGCTATTACATTGCTCATATAATACATATTAAAGGATATAGTACCATCAAGAGCTATTTAGCTTTATTTATTGCAAGCAGATATGGTTAGATAACTATTTTATTAATTAGATTCCATATATGTGGTTTATACAGGCTCTAGCACAAGTCAAACTAAGTTAAATCACCTCTTCTTCTAGTAGTGCAGCAAAGTTCTTCCGAAATCGCTGTTTGAAGTGATCACATCTGGTTTTTTTCTTTTTTGTTTTGACTGCGAACAGAATAGATTTGCACATTACCAGCATATCTATTTAACTAAGGGCACGTGGGCACATTGATACAAGTGTAATTGTTGCATATACCATAGCATGTAATTTGAAGGTAAATTAAAAACATGTCAATGATTATAGAACCTAGATTAGATCAACAATTTGGTTAACAATTACACATTGGTCAGGCATTACATAGCAAATTGTGCAAGTGTTTCACATAGCTGCCACTTACGATTCTACAAAGAGAAAGACCATCAATCACTGTATGTATATGACTCTTTCATAAAGTCAGAAACGAATAGAAATCGGTACGTACCGGTTTCATTGAAATTCTCCTCGAATTTCGGTGCTTTTTGTGCATGCTCAGGTTGGCATGTGGTGCATACCTGGAAGTTATCATTCTCGGAGCGCTTCAGCTGGCTTCCGAGCCCGTCGGACGCTTGCTGGCCCCTCATCCAACACTCGCCTCTGTTCACATCCTTAATGCGACCTGTAGAAATCGAACGACACTATCGATGAATATTGAATAATTAGACGAGACTTGGAGAGGAGTGCGACTCGCTCAACACCTCTCCTGTGGAGATGGGCCCCCCCCCCCCCACCCCCCCCCCCCCCCCCCCCCCCCCCCCCCCCCCCCCCCCCCAAAAGTCAAATTCGTGAGTATGTATATAAAGGGTGTCACCTTTCCTCCCGGCGTAGATGGACTATTTATTCCAGCAATAAACACAGCAACTCGTTATACACTCATATTATTCATGTAAAACGTGCAACAGTCGCCGCCGCGAGAGCAATGGCAGCCGGTAATGCAATGGTAGGAAAACTATCGGCGATAAATAGGTGAAGAGAGTAGACTATAGAAAGATTAAGAATTTTGTAGGAAACAGATTTCGTATTTAGTTAGCATTATATGTTATTGAAAAGGCAGTGGCTTACGGTACGGTAGCCGTATCTTAATGTCTCCGAGCTACGAGTACGGGAGTCCATTCGCGCTTTCATACTTAACGAGACAAGAGATGGCGCGGTGGCGGCTAAGATTTCGAAATACGCCTTGGGAAATAAATTCACGATTTGAGAGTTTAGATGAGCTAGAAACCTAACCATACACCTAAACCTAACACTACACCTAACCCTACTAATCCTACCCACCCTCAACCCTAACGGCAAAAAAGGGCTTGACGACCGACGGCTACCGCCCTCAGCCACTGCGTTATTGAAACGCTTCCAGTGCCTGTGCTCTATTGTATCCCCGAACGAAGTTCGTGGATACTATGGATTTGGGCATCGTCCGCCCGCCGCCCGCCCCGCCCGCCGGCCCCGCCCCCAGCGCCGCCCGCAGCCGCCCGGGCGCCCCGGAGCGCCCCGGCGCCGCCGCCGCCAGCGCGCCGGCCGCGCCCAGCCGGCCTCCGGGCAGAGATTTCCTTGTGAGCGCTCTACCGCTGCAGTTCTTCTCAGATCATCTTCAAATTTGAATGAAGATGCGTTATCGTAAAGCGAAGACAGCCTATCGTTTTTTGGTGTGGGGCGAGTCATCCGTTAGGCCTATGGTAACAACATTTTTTGGTCCGAAATATTCTAGAACCTCTAACTTCTGCAACTTTTTACCGATTGTCATGAAATTAATGTTTGTATTAAAATTAAAAGTTAAAATTCTAAAAAAAAGAAAGAAAAAAAATATTTGCAGAAAATAAAAAAAAATAAAAATATTTGTATAGAAATTTGTATTTAAATTATATATAAATTATGATTGTCATCAAAAATATATAATAATACATATATATATATATATATAGGACATGTTTATATCGGCCCTGTGTGCCAAAATTCGATGAAAAATCGGCTAAAAACAGGCAACAAGTTAGCTGTAGGTTCTACAATATTTCCACAAAAACGTTGTTAGCCGATGGCAACAATGACTCCTCCACACCAAAAACAATTGGCGTCTTTGCTTTAGCATAACGGCACCTTCATGCCAAATTCCAGAAGCGACCCTGCGTATGCAAGGCAGATGACGCATCGAGATAAACAATATTGCGAGTTTACTCGCACATCCGGGCTCTTGCGGAGATGCGTAACTAATGGCGCAGAACATAGGCGCTGAACTGTCAATGGGTGTATGGAGGCATATATTTGTATATATATATATATACCATATTACCCATCGGCCAGATGGGTTTGACCCCTGCCGCCGCCGTGCGCGAACACTGTAAACCCCAGACGGAAAGGGATTGGTCATGTACGCATGATCCAGACGTTACTACAAGTTGTGTAATTATTCATTATATCATTGATTATTATATACTTATAATTATTTAAGGTCTTTCACGATTAAAAGGTCTGTCATTATGAACCCCTAATCCTATCAACGCAGATTGTTCAAATCACGATAGTTACAAAACGCATCCTCATTTTGCTGCGTACTCTATTTGTATCCCTCGTATAGTCACAGTATTTAAGTAGTATTTTATGACATAGTGACTGTGTGATGTGTTTATTGGAGAATGGTGGATGTACAGCAAACACTAGTCGCGAGATTCCTCTGACCAATGCCCACACCGACGATTTGTTGGTGGTTTTGTGGGGTTAGGTCACACCAAAACCACCTAACCCAACCACCTAACCGACCCACACCAAAACCACCAAATCGTCGTGTGGCGCATTGGTCGAGGAATCTCGACTAAGCAAACACCAGAAATGATTATGGCCATTTCGTACATAACGGCGCTGCGTCAATTCACGTATCTCCTCCGAAATACCGCCATAAGGAAATTTTACAGCCATTTACGCTCTTACCGGGAGGGTTTCGAACGTCGCGCGAAGAACGATAGCTAGTGTCACTAAGCCTATATTTCGTCACAAGTGACGTAATAAAACAACATTTCAACGACAAACAACATTTTCAACGGCTTGCATTCGCCAGGTCGCGCATTGCGGAATTTTTCGGATCGGTACCATGCTGCCATCTCTATGGTCCTAACGCGACAATTATTAACGACAAAAACTTCTGCGGTAACGAAGAGGGCGGCGTAGAGGGGGCTGCTCACGCGGACTACTCGGCTCAGCGAGTCGATAAAATATTCGCCTAGTGGTAACGGCAGCATTCGCATATACTTGCACACCTGAGGCAGACCAGTGTTCTAACAAAACCTTGTCTTTGTGACTTTTTTAACTTTTACCGCGCCTTCTACGTCCTTACAGAGAGTTAATTCCATTCATAACTAGATCACGCGGGGATACATGTAGTTGGGCGGACAACTGCCCGTTTTAGTTTATGTTGTTTGCTGCACGGCAGCAGAGGGCGGGCGTGCGGTGTACTTGTGAAGTATGTGTGTTGCATATGAGCGCATTTGACGCGCATTTACAGGGTGATAATAGGCGAAACTAGCAGTACGCAGAAACATTAAGACTTTGTACATTTCGCTGTTTATTACCATTCATTTTTTTTATTGCCGACGTTCCAGAGTGCCTGTTGGATGGATCACGAGGCCCTGGAGGCTCAAAGTTTCGAGAAAAGTATAACGTCTTATATTAAGAGCGAAGCGCTTCGCCTTGCAACCGCTTCGCTTCGAACCCGCTTCGCTCATTAATATAGACATATGAGCGTTTTCGCAACTTCTTGAGACTGCCAAGGGCCTGGTGGATGGAGAAGATCAGAATGATTCAACGGCCATACAGCACTCTGAGACCTGTACACACTTACTAGCTGTCACTGACAATATTCCAGTATTAATTCAATTCTAAATTAAACACAGAGGCCGCTCATGACTTTCTACTTAGCAGGATGCTTCTGGTATATAAGCGCCTATTGACAGTTACATTGGATATGTGTAACAGATAAAAATATTAAAGATATTACCATATAACTCACCTGATTCTCTTTTGTCAGCCATTGCGTTGCGTACTCGTCCAGGCGCCAGCAATAGATCATCGACTCATAGCGACACCTGTGAGCCTGAGATCGCCGCTAGGTTCGCTAGCGTTTATGTTGTCAAATGCAAAGCGAAGAGAAGTAAGTCGCCTAGGAAACCGTTCGTCCGATGGCGAAAAGGATGAGAGATATGGGTATCTACAAGAGATCAGTATGCAACTCTCGGGCGTTTTGACGATCCGTATACACTATTGTATGTTGTAACAGTTATATTTCACGTTTTAGCGGTAGTCGCAGGTTACATTTACACAAGAGCTAGGGAAAGGACTACGAAAACAATTGAAGAGTTGAACAGAAAAACATCCTTGCCTGACAAACCTGATCGGCTGTCAGTGAAAACACCACCACACATCCCAGATGAAGTACAGGAATTAGAAGGGAGGTTACAGAGGTGAGTAGCATGATATGAGAGAAGTAAATGATTCGGTGAAAAGTAAAGACAAAAATCTGCGAGTCAAAACATATATGATGCTGTCTGAACTGTACTGCTAGCTGTCCAAGAAACCGGTAGAATCATCTTTGTATAGGCTCTAGACTATAGCGCGCTTACATTAAACTGATCATTAAGCATTACAATGTACATTGAGCATTAATGTGAAGCGGCGCTATAGTACTAGAGCTAACGTTTTGTATAGGACAATCCGTCGCCAGTCCTGGCTCGGGCTATCTGAACTGAAGACTGAAGTAAGTACACTACGTACAGGTTAGATACAATAATGTAACCCAAACCCAAGAGGATAGGGTTACAGAGTGTCCCTATCCTTTTTCTGCGGAGGAATGCCGCGAGTGAATCACTCGGCCGGTTTGCTGGTGCGTTTTCAGAGACTAGAACTTCCAAACTGGGTTTATTCTAAACACCGAACGCTTTCTCCGCTATCTGGAACTTACTATGTATCGCAATACTCTGTATTAAACTAATATAAGTGTTACAAAAATTCGAAGTGCCAGCGGCGGCAATATACTGAGGCGCGCCATTTCTGTGACTGTGACGTACGGCATTACCAATGCGGCATAGCGATCGGCAAACGCAGCACACGCAGCCGTCACGCCCTCCGATTGGTCGGTGAATCCGCTCTTCAAACCGAAGTCACGTCACCCAGGTCAACAGAAATGGCGCTCGAGTAATATCCGCTGCTCGTCACTTCGAATTTTTGTACAAGGTTATATTAGTTTAATAAAGAGTATTGCGATACATAGTAAGTTCCGCAGATAGCGAGAAAGGTTCATGTTTAGAATAAACCCAGTTTGGAAGTTCTAGTCTCTGAAAACGACAGCACAAACGCGCCTGAGTGATTCACTCGGGCATTCCTCCGCAGAAAGGATAGGGACACGTTTGTAACCTTATCCTGCTTCCGAGAGGGTCTGGGTTCACATTATCAGTAGCTCTACGTACAGGTCTGTGCTGTGAAGGCGCCAGGCAGAAGGGCTCAGTTGAGTGCTAGTTTATTATCATGATTAATGGATCCGTAAATCACTGGAACTTGGAACGTTTCAATA